GTGTGAAGTACTCACTTTTACATTTTGCACTGTTCCTTTGAGTAGATTCAGAAACCTTTGAGACCGTGCCAGGCATGGGCAGCTGAGTCTCCTGTCTACAGAGGACCTGCTAGCATGGCCGTTCTCTAGGACTGCGAGAGGCGCCCCTCTATTTTGTAGCGACCGGAGCTGGTGTGAGAGCAGTGCTGGGAAAGCGCATCTCAGTATCCGTTAACCGCATCGCGGTGCCCGCCATCCGACGTGAGCGCCCTTGCCGGTTTGGCTGAGTGGCTAGCAGGGGTCCTCAAACTTTTTAAACAGGGGGCCAGTTCACTGTCCCTCAGACCGTTGGAGGGCCGGACTATAGTTTAAAAAAAAACTATGAACAAATTCCTATGCACACTGCACATATCTTATTTTGAAGTAAAAAAACAAAACGGGAACAAATACAATATTTGTATTTGCATGTGGCCCGCGGGCCGTAGTTTGAGGACCCCTGGGCTAGAGTGTCGACCTGCGGACTCAAGGGTCCCGGGTTCGATTCTGGTCAAGGGTTGCAGGCTCGAATCCCAGGAGGGGGCGTGCAGGAGGCAGCCGATCAATGATTTTCTCTCATCATTGATGTTTCTATCTCTCCCTCTCCCTCCTCCCTTCCTTTCTGAAATCAATAAAAATATATTTTTTTTAAAAAGTGAGCTCCTGGGAACATGCAGCTGGAGAAGTGCAGCTGGTTCAGCTGCTCAGGGGCTGGAGGCTGGAGGCCTCTGCCAGGCCCCGAATCCATACGCCTCTCTGCCGGGGGTGAAGGGAGAGCTTTCTCCATGTGACTGCACGTTGGGAGAAATCAGGTGGTTCATGTGGATGCTGCTGCTTTGACCCTGTGAGGGCAAGAGTGGCCCTGCCCTGTGCTGGGAGGGGGGGCGGGTAATGAGAAGATAGGATGTGACACCCCAGGACCCTCGACAGGCTGGCCGGCCAGCAGAGACCCAGCCCCCCAGTGGGCCTGGTGCAGGTGGGCTTGGCAGAGGAGGGAGACCACCTGAGACTATCTTCTCTGAGGTCCCTTTGTCCTGTTGACCCCATGGAGGCAATGCCTGTGACCTCTTCCAAGCTAGGGCTGAAGCAGGCAGGTGTCGGGCCAGCATTCCTGGAAGGCTCCTGGCTGGTCCAGGGCTGGGACTTGAGGGTGAGGCCTGGCTGGTTTCCCTGTTGGCTCCCACAGGGTGAGTCCAGTCATGTAACTTCTTTGTCTCTCTGGCCACTGACCTGTTGCCTGTGTGCATGATTGCCAGGTGCCCTGCCCGCCCCAAAGAACAGGAAGGAGACCACAGAGTTTCCCCGTGGGGGCCCTGTGATGAGCGAAGGATGAGGAAGGCGGTGCAGATGGGCAAAGTGCATCCACGGTGGGGTCTGGGTTTCCCTGAGTGCTTTGAGTCCTCATGCTCCTAACCCCGGGAGCCCCAGCGCGGCCAGCGTTGGGGCTGAGCGTGGGGGGCTGTGGATGGGGACCTCAGGGGACACCCCTCCAACTGGGCATGTTAATTCACACCGGCTTTCCCTGATCTGGGCACTATCACTTTGAGCATCTTGCTGATTTGACAGGTGAAAAACATGATTTAAAGTGTTTTATTCTGTGTTTTCACCCATTAGTGAGGGTGATGTTCTAATGCAGTGATGGCGAACCTATGACACGCGTGTCAGAGGTGACACGCGAACTTATTTTTCTTGGTTGATTTTTCTATGTTAAATGGCATTTAAATATATAAAATAAATATCAAGAATATAAGTCTTTGTTTTACTATGGTTGCAAATATCAAAAAATTTCTATATGTGACACGGCACCAGAGTTAAGTTAGGGTTTTTCAAAATGCTGACACGCCGAGCTCAGAAGGTTCGCCATCACTGTGCTAATGTGTCCACTGGTCATTGAGGTTCTCCCTGGCCCCAACGTACGCTCTGGGCCTTTCCTCGAGGATTTCTGTCGGCTCATGGTGTCATCTCTGCGGTGGTAGATTTGGCAGATTTTTCGAGTTTGTCAGCATCCTTCAGCAGGGGATGCGGTACTTCCTAAAGCATGGAGTGTTTTTGTTTTGTTTATTTCTCTTTAATTTTTATGGCCTGTCTCTTTGGAGGGGATACACAGGTGATGAGCATGGCTCAGGGACCACGGCTGGGTGCGCTGCATTGCAGGGATGACGAGGGGTGGTGAGGATTCCGTGAGCGAAGGTGTGCAAGGCTGGTGAGCAGTGCATGGCGGGGTGGGGGGGGGGGGCACACTACATGTCAGCTGTGACCTTTTTATTTTTTTAATGTGTTTTCATTGATTTTAAAGAGAGAGGGAGGGAGAGGGAGAGATAGAAACGTTGATGAGAGAGGAACATCAGTTGTCTGCCTCCTGCACACCCCCTACTGGGGACTGAGCCCGAAACCCTGTCTCTGCTCTGTGAATGGGGGAGGATGGTGGTTCCTCCCAGGCTTAACAGTAGGGAGCCCACACCGCACGTTGGCTTCCTGGGATGTGGCTTTCTGGGGTGCATCCTGACCACCCCTCACTGGGCTCTGAGGACACACGATGGGAAGGCTCTCACCCAGCCATCAGGGCAGGGCCTGTGTGCACTGTGAGCTGGGAAGGGGCCCATGTGGCCGGCGCGTGGCTGTGGGCTGTGCCCTCTGAGACCATCATATAGTGGACGGAGCCCACTAGCTCCCATCAGCGAGTCCTCCAGGTGTCCTGGGCCACGTGCCCCATGGCCACGCCCACCCCACACACCGCAGGGATCCAGGGAGCACACTCCTGCCTCTGCTTGTTGGGTCTGGTTACTGGGCTGCTGTGTTTTTAAAAATAAAATCTCCCGTTGAGATTCCACGAGGCGGTCAGGAGACACCTGAGAGGGCAGGCCTCTTGTTCTCTCCGGTTGGGTGGGAGCCGCCCGGCAAACTGGCTTGGCCCTGGTCTGCGGTTTGTGAATCTGGACGGAGCCTGATGTGCTGTTGTCAGGGACAGCACAGAGGACAGCCTGCAGCTTCCTTCCTGTCACCTGCCCCTTCGACTTCCAACCAGAAAGAAGGAAAGGTGTCATTAATCCCTACCTGTGGGGTCCTCTCCACCTATCCCTGGGTGTCCAAACTGCTGCCTCTACTCCACGGGCCCCCAGGCTCCATCCCCAGGGGCCCCTGGCTCAGACACCTTTCTCCCCTCAAGTGCATCCTCAGGGTTTTAAAAGGGCAGGTTTGCCCTGGCTGGTGCTGCTCAGTGGTTAGAGCACCGGATTGTGCACTGAAGGCATGAGGGTTTGATTCCTGGTCAAGGGTTGCAGGTTCACCCCCCGACCCCTGATCAGGGTGTGTGTGAAGACAACCAATCTATGTGTCTCACTCACATTGGTGTTCCCTTCTCTCTCTCTCTCTCTCTCTCTCTCTCTCTCCCTCTCTCTCTCTTCCTCTCTCCCTCTCTCCCTCTCCCCCTCCCCCCCTTTCATTCTCTCTGAAAAGCTTTGGAAAAAAATATCCTCAGGTGAGGATTAACAACAACAACAACAAACACAAAAAAGACAGGTTCCCCGGAACTCTCCTAGGACGGGGTTGAAGGGGCTCTGGTTCCCGGCAGGCAGGTGTCTGGTGTAGTCAACCCATCAGTGGAGCCGGGAGAGGCTTCTTCTAAAATAATAACGATTTCAGCTAAACAGCTTTCTGTCACCCCAAGCATGGGCCACAGTGAGCTTGGAGGGGTGGGAGGCTTGGACCAGGGAGGGAGGTGGCGAGAGTGGGGCCCAGTCAGTGGAGATGGCACTGGCCCGTGGGAGAATGGCTGGAGGGGGCCCTGCCGGGTGCAGGGCTGACTGTTAATGAGGCCCCTGGTGGGGGCGCTGTCCTGGGACTCGGGGCCGGTGGGCCTTCGCAGGGCGGCCTGGAGGGTTACCCTCCACAAGGTCAGACAGTGACCCGCCCTTCCGCTTTTGGAGAATTAGACAAATGCTACAAAAGCAGGTTCCCAGAAAGAGTTTATGAAGCAAAGCTGACCGGGTGTGCGGGGCACGAGGGGACGGTGCCGGGAGCCCTCAGCATCGGATGCTGTGATGCCCTGCTGTTGTCTGGATGGTGCGTGGGAACGGAGTGCCAGGCCGGCTTCCTTAGGAAAATGGCCGAGCTGGCCACATGCAGGAGGCTGTGCTCCCGAGACTTTGCCTCCATAGAGTGGACATGTTTAACCTGTTTGTGGTGCGGGGACCTTTTCTGAGCTCATGCGTTTAGCAGAAACAGAGGACATCCCAGCGAGGGGGCAAGAGCCCAGCGTTGTCTGTGGGCAAGGAGGGCAGCACAGTGCAGGGGCTGCGGCGTGGGGTGGGGGTGGGGGGCTTGGGAGCTGGCAGCTGCCCAGGGGCTTTCTGGGTACAGGTAGCCGTCATTCCTACCCCCCACTTCCTGGGCCCGTCTTGGGTCAGCAGCACCAGGGCTGGCCCAGTAGGACAGGTACTTCCTGGCCAGAGGACTGGGGCCATGGGGAACCTGGGGGTCCTTTGTGAAATAGGCCTTCTGCGCCTGAGGGGACTTGGGGAGGGCAGGCGTGAAACTCCGCCTCAGGGTCTTGGGGTGGGGGAGGCACAGGGTGGCGTTTCTCTGCTTAAAATCGGAAATCCAGGGCTGCGCGGTGGAGGACAGGCCTGGTGATTCTGGGCCGCGTGACCCCCTCCTGCACCCCCCTCCCCCCCCTTTGTAGTCTGGTCACCCTGGCTGCCGAATGGCCCAGCCAGCAGGTTTAAGTACTAATGACTTGGGCTGCTACTAGCAAATCTCACTAGTGAGCAGAGGAGCTGGACGGCGGTGCTGTAGCCCACCCGCCCGCTAAGGACAGTCGCACCCTGTGCCACCGGCACCACCGTCACCAGAACTGGAACCAGAGAGAAGGGGGCTCTGGGTGGAGGACACCTCACAACCCCATCACCGTGCTGGCCCCGTAGCACGCGGGAGAGACTGCACAGTGGACATCAGGGAGGCTGATCCACCAGGTTCTGTTGTGCAATTTTCATGATTTTTAATTTTATTTTGTGAAATTATGTGAGTCAAACAGGAAAGCACACAGTATTTGAACCACAAACAATACAGGACGCCCGGCCCCTCTGCCTCCCCGAAGGTGACCCCCCAAACCCAGCTCACAACTCCAGATTTCAGATACTCCGCTGGGGGGCTGGGCCCAGGGGGTTCTGAGAAGTTGTTTAGATGCTTTTATGGGTGGAAAGAAAAATGAAAGATCAGCTTCTGGAGAAAAATGAAACTGGACACGAATAGCACAGCCCTGGGCTAGGCCACATGTGGGGACAGGACCCCCGGGGTCCACTAGAGTCCCACACGGGCCCCTGAGCAGGAGGTGATGGAGGGAGCCGCTGGTGGACCCGGAGCACCTGGCAGGCCCCTCTCCCGGCTGATAAGCCCCGGCCCCCCAGCCTGCAGGGAGCATGGGCAGCACAGAGTTAATGGGCGCCTCCCCGCGGCGTGAGGGCACCGGGAAGCCAGGATCTGGGAGTTCTTTCATCGCCAATCGCCAATTGAAGACGGGTCGTCCCCTGGGATGAAAGCCCCTTTGTGCCCGGCCTGGGCGCAGCTTGAAGTCCTGGGCTGGCTCTCACGCACCCCCAGAGCAGGTAGTGGATGGCCCTCTCGCTGCAGGAATGTCCCCATGAGGCACCGCAAACAACCTCCTCCTTTATTCGTGCTATCAGCTCACGATGCCTGACGATTTGGGTCCCAATTATATCTAGAGAAGGAGGGGAAAGGTCGCGCTGTCTAGACACTAACCCAGCGCGATTCCGTTTCTTCCTGGGCCTGTCTCCTGGCAACAGGATTATGGCTGGCGGGGGGCTGGCATTCCCCAGGCCCTGTGAGAGTGGGGGCCCCACTCCTGCTCTCCGGAACCTTCTGGGGCCAGCAGTGGGGTGTGGGCAGGGAAGGCTGCATGGAGAAGGCCTACTGCTCTCAGGCTGGTCACCAAGGGACCCTGGGCCGGGCTGGGGTTGGGGAGGCCTTGCAGTGAGGGGAGCCCCGGTGTTTGCTGGAAGCTGTGTGTGCTGAGTGCCCTGCTCCCCGGCCCAGTTCCATCAGCCCTGCCACACATGCCGGCCTTCTGCTGGGATGGGCAGGAAGGGAACTTGGCTAATGCCCATCTGAGCTCCTTACCCCCCCGCCCCCCCAAGTTAGCAGTGCCCCCCCCCCCCAGGTGGAAGACGCCAGCCCTTGCTGCTCCAGACGGGCTCCCACAGGGTCCCCAGTGGCATCTACACTGGGTCCTACTGTGTTGGGTTAGTTGCTGCCTGGGGTACCCTGCTTAGCGCCCTCTGGGCTCCCGCTGGACAGACGGTGTCCCGGGAGCATTTGCAGGCTTTTGCCAGAAATTTAGACAAATACAGAGCACTATACGGTCCCTGCAAAGGGACCTGGAAGGAGAGCTGTCCTTCCTCCGGGAGGAACAGTAGGAATGATGGTCACAGGGGTGGTAGCAAGGGGTTTGGGGCGGGGGGGGGGGAGGGCGGAAGAGGCTCCAGGGAGTGGAAGCTGGGGGTCCATTAGTAACAGGGCTCCCCATTTCTCTCTAGCCTGGCAGACAGCTCCAGGGGGTCTGCAGGGCCTCCTCTGTCAGGACTGTTTTAGGGGGCATCAGTTAGGTCTCCTTTATACTCCCTTGTGTCCTGGCTCTGTCACGTGCCCCCATGCAGCCCCGGGGGAGGCCTGAGGTTGGGGGTGCAGAATGTGGCTGAGGACATGGCCCCTGAAAGTAAGGGGGTGGTGCCCCTCCATCCTGTGGGGTTTGGGCTACAGCTCTGCCTGCTTCTCAGACACACCCCTCTGCCCTTAGAGATGGAATCATGGGTAGTTAGCAAACAAGAAGGTGGGGTCTTCTCTCCTTGCTTGTCCTGCTCTTCATCTGATGGGGAAACTTCTTCCTTTCACAGGCCCTTCTCTGCCTCCCGCCTGCATGAGACATAGGGGCCAGCAGGTACAGGAACTTAGGTTATTTCAAGGTCGGCCATCCTTACAGGGAGACCCTCATCCTGCGCGCTCCCAGGAATTGGGGGTGGTGGGGGAGCTGGAGGGGGCTTTTAGATCTTGACACCAAGGCCAGGAACCAGCTTTAGGGGAGACCAAGTATACCGCATGAGTAAGTGTTTTCCACGGGGTCCTCTCGGGATGGCTGTATTTTTGGGATCTCCAAGCACTTGCACCGACTACATGTGCAGGAGCCCCTGACCTTCAACTTGGGGCCGCTGCTCTCTTTATTCCCACAGTTGGGTGTTGGTCCCCTCCACCCCCATTCCAACATGCTCACACACACTCACAGACACAGCCATGCTCACACACACAGACACACAGTTAACACAAGCCAACCTTGAGGCTTAACTGGAGTGGAACCTGCACCCCAGGAATTGGCTCGGAGGCCACACTGTGCATCCCCTCTATCCCCCTGCACGCTCCCCTCCCTCCTGAACTCAGCTTCCTCCCATGCGCTTCAGCCCCCCATAACCCCCTCATCCCAGACGACACCCCCACCCCTGCTCTTGACCACACCTGCCTGTCCTTGGAGGTGCTGCTGTAGTTGGGAGCCCAGGCAGGGGTTCCTTTGCTGGTCACTGGTCCCACCTGGAGGGAAGAGGTTGCAGACCTCGCCCGGCCCCCTGCCCGAACTCCCCTTCTGCCTCTCTGCCACCTAGGAAAGATACTGTGGGTGGTGGTCCAAGGGGCACTGGGGGCCTATCCCTAGGGGACCCCCTACTGTTTGAAACTCTGATTGAGATTGCACTGGCTTCCTGAACCGTTACGCTGCCTGGCAAACCCCTCTTTCTGGACCTGGCACCTGCACCCTCTGCTCCAGGTGCTGGCTTTTGCCCTGCCTGCCTGGTGCCCTGGGCGTCAGTGCCCTGGCTGAGTCCTCACAATAGGATGGGGCCACCTTCCCAGGCAGGCCCTGCAGCCTCCTGGTACCTGGTGTGCCAGGCACATAGCAGGGGCTCAATAAATGCTTCCCAATGGATGGATGGAGAGACTTTTGAATGAGGGTTTTATGAAAAGCTCACGAATTAGGCCAGAGGTGTCCTCAGTTCTGTGCTCTGAGTGTCTGAGGGGCACAGGCCACGGCGTCAGTGGCAGGTAGGCGGGATGCAGAGGCTTTCCTGCACCTCCTGGTCACGAGGGTCCCCGGTGGGTTCAGAAAGTGGTTGCTATGGAGCTGCAGGAATACAAAGGGGGTGTGGGAAGCCGGGCAGAGAGACCTCCTTCACCATTTGGCCTGGCCCCTCTCAACAGCGGCCCGGTGGACACTGGTCACCAGCTGGTCGTGATGGTCATGAGGCTGGAGGCCAGGTGGGGGCTGGATGGGCTGACACACATCTCAGGGCGCAGTGAATGCTCACGGGCCAAGCGAGAGCCAGCGTTGTCCTTCCTGGGAGGCGGCTGTCCTGTGGGGGAGCTCCTCCCCCCTGGGGGCAGTTCTTAGAAGGCCCAAAGGCTGTAGGTGTCCTTGCTTGCGACCGGCTGTCATTGCGGCCTTCCCTTCTCCCTAGGAGCTCGAGTTGGGAAACCCCGTCACTAAACTCGGGATTGAGAATGATGTCACCCAGGTCCTGGAAACTTGATGAGTCACGCCTCCTCGTGTGGGCACCTTGGAGAGCTTGTCACCTCCCCTTTTCCTCCCAGAATGTGGTCAGGTGACTTGAAGAGACAGATGTGGGAGCTGCCGCCCTCTGGGAGTTTCCCAGGTGGGTACAGGACCACAGGAGGTCAAGTCCAAGTGCACAGACCAGCCTGGGTGACTAGGGTGCGTGTGGTCACTTGACTTCATTCAGGACAGTGGGTCAGCCTCATTCTCAGAGTCCCTGTCTCCTCAGGGTCAGCCCAGGGCAGCACTTTCTCCCTGTTCCTCTGCGGGGCCCGGGCAGTGAGTCACCAGGTTGATGCTGAGGTAGTTCGCTCAGACTTGACCAAACATTAAGTGGCCAGATCTCACACACACACACACACACACACACCCGCCCCTGACCGATTTTTTGGAAGAATGACTTTGTTTTCACCCCAATGATTGTCAACACCCGCCTGTGTCTGTCCTCCTGCAGTGTTAGGGGGCCCAGGGCTGCTGGGGCCATGGGAAGACCCCAGGCCTCAGGAGTTGCTGAGACTCAGGGTCCCGGTGGTGGAAGGAGCTTCCAGTGGCAGGGCCTCCCTCCACTCACTGGCAGCCCCAAGAGGCGTTCCACCCCCTCCTCCCACCCGCAGGCGCTGGCTGGGATGCTGCTTGGTGAGGGTGTGGGTCGGATGCCGCCGCCTCCTCCTGGGCAGGCCCCCTCCTGCCCCTGGCCCATCAGCCTGACCTCACCGCCTGCGTGTCAGGGCACCGCCGTCCTCCCCGGTGGGAGGCTCTGGGCGGCCGCCAGGGCTGCTGGGCCTCTGCGCTGAGGTGGGGCTCCGTTATGGACGTGTGGACGAAATTGGCTCTGGTCCGCTGGACCTGTGGTTTGGTGCCTCAGCTCCTCTGCTGGGCAGGGGGGTCCTACGGGCCCTGGGTAGCCAGCGCGGTCAGCCGCCCTGAGTCCTACCAGCTCCGGGTTCTGATTTCTGTGCTCAGTAGACGGTTGGCTCTGACTTCTTGGCAGTCAGCTCGGGGAGCGCCGGGCCTGCTGCTGCTGCTTCGGGGCTGACGGAGCAAGGTGAGGCCTCGGGACTGGGCTCAGGAATTTGGACTGGCACCTGGGCCATGAGCTCAGGTCTGACTAACAGCTCTGACTAAGGAGGAGCCCAGCAGCTGTGACTCACAGCCCTGGGGCTCCAATGGCTCCAGCTCCTCCACAGCGAAGGCTGCTTCCCAGCTGCTTCCCGGCAGCTTCTCCGAATCTGCAGGGTGGCTGTGGTCATGTCCCCTCCCCTGTGCAGCCCTCCTGCTGCCCTTCCTGTCCCTCCGTGAGCACCCCTTGTCGTGCTGCATGGGATCGGGGCCCAGTGCCCTCGGGGCTTGAGCAGTGAGTGGGTGAGCGAGGCTGTTCACCTCCAATGTGCTGCATGGGGGGGGCGACCACCCTCAGCCCACTGGGTGCAGGTGGTGACCGGTTGGGTGTGGCCAGGGCTGGGGACTGGAGGTCAGGAGACCCCAGGATATGAGGGGGCGGTTTTCATGTGCATACAGTGCTCCCTCTCCTTGGGTGGGGAACAATCGGATTCCTTTTCATTGGAGTAAAATTCACACAGCAAAACATCTTAAAGTGAACCATTCAGTGACCTTTAGGACATTCACAACGTTATCCAACCATCCCTATCTCTAGTTGCAGAACTCTCTCAGCTCCGAAACACTTCCTGTTATCAGTCAGCCCCTCCCTGCCCTCCCCCAGTGTCTGGCAGCCACTGACCTGCTTCTGTCTGTGGATTTGCCCACATGGGATCCTACACTGTGTCCTTCCGGGTCTGGCTTCTGTCACTGAGCATCACGTGTCCATCCATACTATAGCCTGTCAATGCTTCACCCTTTTTCCTGGCTGAGTAATACTCCACTGTAAATTCTTTAACTTTTGCCCTAGCTGGTTTGGCTCAGTGGATAGAGCGTAGGCCTGCAGGTCAAAGGGGCCTGGGTTCGATTCTGGTCAAGGGCACATACCTCGGTTGCAGGCTTCTCCCCAGCCCAGGCCCTGGTCAGGGCACCTGTAGAAGGCAACCAATTGATGTGTTTCTCTCTGTCTTTCCCTCTCTCTTCCACTCTCTCTAAAAATCAATGGAAAAATATCCTCAAGTGAGGATTAAAAAATAATAATAAAGTAAATTCTTTAACTTTTAAAATAAATTTTTAAAAGTATGTTTTTTCAATTGATTTTTTAGAGAGAGGAAGGGAGAGAGAGATAGACACATCAATGAAAGAGAAACATTTTGCACGGCCTCCCCATAGGGCAAGCTGGCAACCTGGTCATGTGCCCTGACCAGGAATTGAATCTCTTGGTTCCTGGGTTGATGCTCAATCGCTGAGCTACACCGTCTGGGCTGAAACAATTTTCACGTGAAGGAAGCATCTCTAGATGGGGCTGTGGCTTCTGAGCAGGTGACCCAGGCAGGACCCCGGGCAGGCGGAGGGGAAGCAGGTGCTCCCTGGGCTGCAGGCCATTCTGTGTGGTTACGTCAGTGGCTGCCTAATTGGGGTTCTGTGCAGACACAGTCCTGCTGTGTACGTTTTCCAGTCTCTGCTGCTGCTTCAGCATCCTTTGTGAGTTGGTCACGGCTGCCGTGTGACTCTCAGCTGCAGGTCCCCCGTGGTCTGCTCCTGGCTGCCTCGCTCCTCCTCCTACGCCGGTGTGGGGGCCGGAATGTGTGTCCAAGGCGTGGGGGTTGGGCCCTGGGGGTCTTGGTGGCGTCCCTGTTTGTGCTGCAACTCTGTGGTGGGTCCCTTTGCCCTCCCGCGGGGCAGGCTGCTTGAAAGGATTAACATGGCAGGAAGGGGGGCCCCCCCCCCGACACCCCGAGGCCCTCAGCCACCTGCCTGGTTGCCGGGGAGGGGGTTCCAGGTGGGGCGCCTCAGCCTCTCCCCAGAGGAGGGGCTGGGCCCACCCAGGGCAGGCTCGGGGTCACTCTTGGTGACCCTGGGTCCAGTTACAAAGGCGGGTAGAGAATGTGGGTGGCTGCCTAAGCCGATGAAAACCCAGGAATGTGGAGAGGCCTGGTCCTGGCCTCAGGTCTCGTGGTCCTCGGTGAGATTGCTTTCAGTTTAGGCAGGAGCCCCCGGGGAGGCCTGTGGCTGGGCGGGTTCCTGGCAGGAGCCCCCGGCCCAGCCTTTCATCAGCAGGCCCTTAGCAGGCACAGGCCAGCCCAGGAAGCGGGGGTCACGAGGCCCCACCAGGACGGTCACTCCACGGTCACCTCACACACATGGCAGGTCTGCGGGTGGCGCAGGCCCGAGGCGGGGGATCAGGAGGAACCAACAGGAAGGTGGGGGGAACGGGCCGCCCGCAGTCTGCTGTCCAGCAGGCGCCTGGGCATTTGTCTTGCAGGTGATTTATTTGCAGGGCTGGGGGCTGACATCCCCGGAGGTCACATTCCAATCATAACAGCTTATCTGGGCTGTCAGGCTGGCCCGGGAGGGGGTCTGAGACAGAACAGAGCCCTGCTGGTCTCTCCCCACTCCATTCCCTCCCGTGGGGTCTAAGGGCAGCAGGGAGGTGTTTGCAGAGACCTCCCTGAAGCACCTACTGTGTGCAGGGACAGTGCTGGGCCCTGGGTCCCCCACCTCCCATTGCTCACAGCGGGGGAGGGAGGGTTAGGTGGGCAGGACCCACCCCACACAGCCATAGGGTGCAGGGAGGCAGCCCTGATGGCATGGGGGAGGAGGACCCATTCCAGTGGAGGCTCTCGGTGCCCCAGAAGAGGGTGACATTTGCAGGGCCCCAGTCGTTGTGCTGGGTACGTGTCCAGACCCCATAGAATCCTCCCCGAGGCCCCAGGAGGACCCCCGCTGCTCTCTGTGCCTTTCCATATTGGCACTTGAGGCAGTTTCAGACACGGACCCAGGACTAGTGCAGGGGCGGCGAGGGTGGGGCCGGCTGGGGCAGACGTGGGCCGTGGGGGAAGGGGCGGTGTGAGGCCATCCTGAGCCTTGCCCGGCTGGCTCTGCGTCCATGGCGGGCGGGAGGCGTGCACAGACGGCCTCAGGGACCCAGCCTCCATGTCTTCTGCTGACTTGGTCCAGTCAAGTTGGGGTCAGGTGTGAATCGTGCAAAGACTTCCCTGTGCTGGGGGCCGCAGCCCCAAACTGGGAGGGCATTTGGGAACCTCAGGCTGGGTCCCTGGGGAGGAGCACCCCAAAGGCCTCTTCCGAGATTGGCGGAGGGTCAGCCCAGAGGATGGATGGGCTGACATAGGACCTGTGATTGGGACCTGCTCCAGGTGCCTGCTGGGAAGGGGCAGCCCAGTCCCCTCCGGCCGGAGCTCCCTCCCTGCTTCACTTGTCAGAAGGACCCCATTGTCCGCCCACCAGACTTTGGCCTCGAGAAACGTCCCCTTCAGAGCATCCTCGTCGTCCCCTTTCCCTGTGACGACCGAGAAAACTCCAAACAGGTTCCAGAGAAAAGCGGCGATTGCACAGATGTTAATCCTCTTTGAGACGACATGGTCGTTTAGCCAAAGAAAATACACCGGTTTCACTTTGAAAGGGTCACGGACTCTCTTTAATGTTTAATTTCTTTTGACCCATAAGTATCACAGGAGAAGAAGGAGGAAGAAGTGTCGTCTGTTCAGATGTCGGGAGGAAGTTTGGATGATGGGATGGAACATTTTGCTCAATCTTAAAAGTAAAGAAAAAAGTCTTTATTTTTATAGGTACAACCTCACAAAACTTCCAAAGACGAGGTCCTCGCTACCGGCCGCATGTGTGGATGGGACCACCCTGGTCCCATTGGGGGATGAAGGTGTTGAGCTGGGCTGGGCGATGGCCTGGGAGGGGCTGGGGTCTGTGAAGGTCTGTGGGCTGTGCAGGCGGGTCCCCAGCAGACCCTTCACCGAACCCGCTGGCCTTCGTCAGGCTTGAACTTACCGAAGTGCCACCTGCAAGAACAGGCTGGGGACCCGGTGGGGAGCCCCAACAAGATGCATTCCTGAGTCCTGGCTCCCCGTGCGCCTCAATGCCTGCTTCCTTTAGGCCTCTGGCCAGCTGTGTCATTCCAGTGGGTCCCGTGTCTTCTCTGCACCTCGGTTTTTCTCTCTTGCAAATGGGCTCACAGAGCTCGGCTGCAGGGGGCACTGTGAGGATGCCGGAAAGGTGCCGAGAAACGTTAGGCTGCGGACAGGCGCCAGGTGATGTTGGCCAGCCTCTCGGGGACCCCAGGCCCGAGAGCCAGCTCTCTGGAAACCTGGAGGGAATGGCTTTATGGGGCAGGTGGGGGTGACTGGTGCTTTTGCAGGAGGACTGGGGGGTGCAGCGGCATCTCTGCTCTTCGACACCAGCCCAGGAGCAGGGCATCAGGGTGACTTCTGGGGGGACAGCCGTGAGGGCCTGAAACCTGCTCTCCAGTCAGAAGTCTGGCCATGGTGGATGGGCGGGGCCCAGTCCAGAGTTTGGTCCTTCTGTTCGGCCAGCCCTGCAGATGGGATGTGCTGGTGACCCAGCAGTTCTGGACTCTGCGGCATCTGTACTCAGGGCAGTTCCAACTACTTTTATCATCAACGTGGAGAAGAAACCCAGAGGGAGGGAGAGGCTGGATTTGCAGCTCGGGCCTTCTGCCAGCACCTCCTTGTTACCACGTGACTGTTAGCCGGTGGTTTGGGGTGAGTGTGAGGGCGCAGGCTGGCAGCTGGCGGGGAGAGAGGTGGGGCGCCGCCTCATCCTGGCCAGGGTCCTGGCGGGGGTGAGCTTGCACACCGGAGCCCTCGGAGAGGGGCTGAGGCCCTGAGGAGGTTCCTCCGGGGTGGGGGGGTCAGGTCTGGCCTGGGCTGGGGTCATTTGGGGCCCTTGTAGACAGTGACCTCTCTGAGAAAGAACAAGGGATCCATCTAAAATCCTGCCTTGCCCAGCCGGGGTGTCTCAGTGGTTGAGCGTCGACCTATGAACCAGGAAGTCACGGTTCAACGGTTAGATTCCTGGTCAGGGCACGTGCCTGGGTTGCAGGCTCATCCCCAATGGGAGTGTGCAGGAGGCAGCTGATCAGTGATTCTCTCCTGTCATTGATGTTTCTATTTCTCTGTCCCCCTTCCTCTCTGAAATTAATACAAATTATTTCTTTAAAAAATCCTGCCTTCGATGTCCTCTCACTCCCTCTCTCTTCAGTGAAATGCCCCCTGGGTGACACGAATTTTAAGTCATTTCTGTCGTCCCTGAGGGGGACCTCATTTAGAAGTGACCCTGGCCCCCTGGGAGACGGGGAGCGTGCACACTGCACCTCCCGCCTCCTCTGGGATGTGGCTGGGAAGTAGCCGCCTCCTTTGGGAACCCGTCCAGCCGTGTTGAGGGGAAACGGCCCCATGAGCTGGGTGGGCATAAGAGGGGCTGTGCCTGGGGCCCCGTAGAACCAGCCTGTCTATAGATGAACCAATGCTCATTCTGATAACTTCCTGTGGACCACATTTCTCGTGATTTAATACCCATTTCCAGCTTGTATCTGGAACAAGATGGGTTTTTAATTAGGTGAAAAGGTTGACTGTTGGACGCTGGCTGGGCTGAGGCTGAGGACGGAGCAGCACAGTCTGCAGACAGGAAGGGGCCGCGAGGACCCATGGACTGCCCCCCGAGTGTCCAGCCCCCCTGGCTCCTGTCAGCACATGTCACTGTCCCCTCTGAGGTGTTTGCAGGTTCAAGTGCCCGAGTTCTGGAGGTGGGTGTGTCACCCACTCTCACACTCACTGCCTTTCACACTCATACGTCACACACTCACCTTCAGCCTCACACAATCAGGTATAACACACTCCCGTCCCCAGGTGGGCTCCCCGAGCTGTCGCTGACTGGTGAGCAGGGGTGGGCGCACCTTTCCCTGCCTGCTCCTTCCCAAGCTCTCTTGCCAACCTCTCCTTCCTCTCTGCCAGCCTCGCCAGGCAGCCCCTGCCTGGTCCAGGGCTGGGGCCCGTCTGTGGGGCTGGTGGGGCCGGTTTGCGGGGCAGCTTCTTCCCAGGGACGGCGGGCACTTGACCACCCAGCTGCACGTGAGTGTGCATTCTCGTGGAAAGCAGCCTCCTTGTTCACCGGCACGCACAGGGCTGTCCTGTCTGCGCAGCTGGAAGACACGATGAGACACCCGCTGTGACGGGAGTAAAGTGAATTCCAGCCGCTGACCAGTGCTCTGAGAGCAGCTGGGGCCAGTGTGCACACAGCGGTGGTCCCGTCTGTGCTGAGGTGGGCACAGAGTGGCAGCACCTGTTTAGAGATGTTTTTAGCCATTCAGCATCGCCGTGACATTTTTATCGTGTTTTACAAAAGTGCTTGCCACCACGGATTTGGGGGAGGGGGCTGGTCCTTGCCCACAGTTTGAGAGGCAACAGCCTGCAGGTCCAGATGTTCGAAGGAAATGGAACACATTAGGCTGCTGTGTAGGAATTATCCAGTGGCTTTGAGGGGACAGGACAGGACCCCCAGCGCATGGTGAGGGACCGAGGGATTGAAAATGTACGTGTGGCGGGAAAACGAGGGCAGACCAGAAGGAAGCATGTGCTCTGAAAGCAGGGCACCTGGACGGAGCTGCCAGAGGAGCCCCTGGAGTGTTGGGGCGACGGCGGAGAAGGGGCCCCTTGAATGAGGAGCCGCAGGTGCCGGCAGTCAGAGGTGAAGGTCCACTGAGAAAAGGCAGCACGTGCAGGGTGGACGCGTGTCCCGGGGCCGCTGTAACAAATGACCACAAAGTTAGGGACTGAGAACAGCACAGGTTTATCCCTAAGAGTGGAGGTCGGTCAGAAGACTGAAGGGCTCCTTGGGCTGGAGTCTGGGTGTCAGCAGGGCTGGGTCCCCCGGAGGCTCCGGGGAAGAGTGTTTCCTGGCCTGTTCCTGCTTCTGGAGGGGCCCCTGTCTTTGGCTTGTGGCCCCTCCTCCATCTTCACAGTCAGCAGTGACCAGTTCAGCCTTAGTTCTGGTTCTTCTGTCCCCCTCTTCCCCTGTCTGGGACCCTTGTGAGGATAGTGGGCCCATCCGGATGATCCAGAACAATCTCTTTATTTAAGGTCAGCTGGTTAGCAGCAGCAGCATCCACCTGCAACCTTCATCCCCCTTTGCCAGGAAACATACCTACTCACAGCCCCAGGGAGTAGGATGTGGGGGCCCGGGGGTGTGTGTGTGTGCAGGGGACAGTGTTCTGACCTCTGGCCCCGAAGATTCATGTCCCTTCCACATGCAACACATCTATCCCATGCCAGCACCCACACAGAGGGAATGAGAAACCCAGAACACCACTTCCTACCACCGTGGGCAGTGCAGAGGGAGGGCTGCTTTTGTGCACTGGGACCCACGATCAGCCGTCCTCGTGGGAGGGGACTCGGCCCTCTGTCACTCACATTCTGGGATTTCATCCCCTTGACCTGGTGACCCCATTTGGGGAATCTGTGCTCCAGTAATAAAGCACCCACCTGTCTGGACATCCGCTCAGCATCACTTAGAGTGACCCAGGCAGACAAAGCCCAGGGAGGAAACGCACCTGCTCTGCCAGGACCACTGGCACAGGTGCAGAGCTGGGTTCTGCCACTGGCACAGGGGCGGAGCTGGGTCCTGCTGCTGACACAGGTGCAGAGCTGGGTCCTGCCACTGGCACAGGGGCGGAGCTGGGTCCTGCCACTGGCACAGGTGCAGAGCTGGGTTCTGCTGCTGGCACAGGGCGGAGCTGGGTCCTGCCACTGGCACAGGGGCGGAGCTTGGGTCTGCCACTGGCACAGGGGCAGGGCTGGGTCCTGCTGCTGGCACAGGGTGGAGCTGGGTCCTGCCACTGGCACAGGGGCAGGGCTGGGTCCTGCTGCTGGCACAGGGCGGAGCTGGGTCCTGCCGCTGGTACAGGGCGGAGCTGGGTCCTGCCACTGGCACAGGGGTGGAGCTGGGTCCTGCTGCTGGCACAGGGCGGAGCTGGGTCCTGCCGCTGGTACAGGGCGGAGCTGGGTCCTGCCACTGGCACAGGGGTGGAGCTGGGTCTGCCACTGGCACAGGGGCAGGGCTGGGTCCTGCTGCTGGCACAGGGCGGAGCTGGGTCCTGCTTACCCCCATGGTGCAGCCCTCCCTGGCCTGGGGAGTCCTGAGTGACAGAGGCTCAGAGTATGCAGCGGTCACTGGGCCAGGGGAGTTATTAACCTTACTTACTAGGTCTTTATGTATTACAACATGTACATTGATTTAATTTTTTTAAAAATCTAAGTGAAGAACAAATGTGAACTTTGGGTTCATTTCTTCTACCAGAGCACGGAGCCTCAGTTAGAAACCCCGGGTGTGTGGCTCCCCCTGGTGGTCATTTGCCAACATGACAGCCTGTCACAGGCGGGACCCAGGGTGACGTGACTTCACCCTGTAGATACATAGCATCAGCATTCGCAAACCTGGTCACACTCAGCATGGTCTTCCTCCGGTTACTGGCACTTCGGGCACTTCGGGCTCTTAGGGACGCGTGAAGTGGATGTGGTTTGGGATTTGAAGGGACAGCACTGAGCCTGGCTTTTGAAGGACCCTCCCTGCATGAACACCCCAGACGCTGGGTAGAGCCTGTGAAGTGAGTCTCGGCCTCCAGTCGTGTGTTCAGCCAGAAGTGAAAATTGGATTAAAGTGGGTCTGGGTGACTTTCTGTGAAAGGAGACGGAGAACCCCGGGCCAGCTGGTCGCTCGCTCCCCTGTTCCTTC